AAATCAGAGACAGTTGAAACTTCTGTAATACATAAAAAGGAAAGAAGATTTGGAGAATTTAGCACACGCAGGGCATACTGAATGAAAGACGGAGAAAGAGTAACAGCAAGCTACCTACCTAACGAGTTTGTGTGATTGGATGACAAGGCAGGAACAAAGTGGAACGACAAAGAATCAAAAGTCGTTTAGAACTATAAGGGATAGAAAAGTGCGGAGAGCCATGATCGCCCATTTCTTGAAGAAAAACAGAACATAAAAGACGAATATGTCTGTAACGCTTGACAATTCCTTTCAACTTATACCATAGAGATTGAGTAACGAAACTTGTACAAAGAAAAACGTTCAGTAAAAATTGTAAATTTGGTAATTACAAAATATTTTCCCTACCTAGAGAATGTCTAACCTGAGGCGGCCACTTGGGAAGAATGAGAAAAATTGTCAAAAACTTATATTTTTATATCAAATTCAAATGGAGTCGGAATTAACATATAACGGTAATTGATGCTTTCATTTTTTCGCCTCTGTGCTTCTATACATTCTTTAGAATGTATAGTAATTAAATGATTATATCATATTTTTATTAAATTTTCAATCCTACACAAGATATCATGTGTATATTGAACGAATTGCTTCTGTTTCAGATTTAGAAGAAATCATTGCTCTTTTGTTTTTTTTTTTTCAGTTTTTCCAAAAACGACAGCGACATTCGGAATAATTAACAGGATCCAGAGAAATTCTCCATTGCAAAAATAAACACACACACACACACGCACACACACACACACACATATATATATATATATATATATACATTAATATAAGAATGTATGGATAGGCTTGTATATCGTCTGGTTCACATTCCTAACCGGTCTTTTGAACAGATGTAGAGGTTTCTAAAGTTTTCGTATTTTCTTTCACTCCAAGTAGCCCCTAGCATCTTAGTGGCATTTTTGCTTTACTTGGGGTGAATTGATTAAAATAGAATGTTGGTAGGTATATAGTAACTGATTTTTGAAGTACATAGTGGATATAAATACACAATTATTTATTATTTATCAATAGCTAATTAAAAATAAACACTGGTCTTGAATTAAATTATCAAAATTTTCCCATTTCCGCAGTTTTGCTACATTGAAATATTTACAGAAAAGTTTGTCTCAACGTCGGTCCAAATATCCGGCCAGATGCTGCTCTCTCTTAGGTTCGTTTAAATGCCTGATGAAGTCAATATCTCTAAAAATGTTCTTAAAAAGAGGATACCATGATAAAAAAGTCCACAAGTTCTACTGTCAAAATGTTTTTTATTATTAAGAGGAAAGCACAAATTATTTTTCTGCTATTTCATTAAAGTTTTTAATCCTTTCTCACACCTTCAAAATTGTGCTTAAAAATCTTAGGTGAGCCAAAGATTAGTATTGGCGTTAAAAACACATTATTTTGGAAATTCTTGCAAAAATGAAATAATTGTCGGATTTTAATGAAATTTTCTGGATATATTCAGAAATGAATGAAATTATTTTTGATTTTTTTCCTTTTTAAAAAATCTTAGTATAAATATTTCAATAACTCGAAGATGCTTTGAACATTTTTTTTCAAATTTTAAATGATTAATGTAAAACATCAAAACAAGGGTTGAATTAAATTTTAGGTAGTTTCAACCTGTTTCCTGGAGTAAAATTTCAGGCTAACGGACGTCATTACATCGTCCCTGTCCATGTTACATTGTCCAACGTTATGTCACTCAGCAACGTTACCTACGTCATAATAAAAAGATGTGAAATAAAATAAAAATATATTTAAAATAAACAAAAGATATAAGTTATAAGTAAAAATAAAATTTATTGAAACAAAACAAGTTCAGTTGACCACTGATGACAATTCCAGAACAACGTAACAATAAACAATTTTTTCTAACCTCTGCCAGCCGCAATGAGAAAGCATTACCTCGAACCATCGCCAGTGAGACACGCTGCAAGAGCCACTCCGTTTCGCGGGGCTCGTCCCTTAATCGAGACGCAATCGCGCCAATCCTCCGAAGGAACGCCATCGAACGAGGGCCAATAACCCCTGAAGTCTCCACTGCCACAGGAGTAAAAAAAAAAAAATCTATCAGCAAGAGAAGAATATTTAACCATTTTTTTCATCTCTGCGTCCCGGGCGACGAATCCTGGCTCAACCGCGAAACTGATCAAAGTTATAAGTTAATCTTTAAAAAGTTTTAATGTCTTAACGAGAGTTAAATTCCATCGTGTTGTTTATGCTGATTATAAGGGATTTGTCGTCAGACTTGAGTAGGCACCTCCACTGAATTTTCGATACCTAAGGTTTAAAATTATTTTTAAAAAATGTAAAAACATTTTTGAAGATTTCATTTTAGCTTTATTTGAAAGCTAAATGATTAAATTTATTATTTCCAGGAAGTAAAATATTCTGGTGTATTTCAGATAGAAATTATATAGATTGGAATATCAAATAATTGCTCGATTTTTTAAAAACTTATTTTAAAAGCAGCCATTTTCTTAATTTTAAAAAACTTGTAAACAAAACAAATTTATCGGTTTTCAAAATTAATTATAGATTTGTGACACGTTATTTGAATAAAATTAGAAAATTTAAAGTTAAATTAATCTGATTTGAAATAAACATTACTTATAGCATAAAAAACCAATGTTTCTTAATTCTTTGATCTTTATTGACTTATCGAGAAGCTCTCAAGGCGATGACAGCTCTTATGGATGACCAGAAATGTCTTAAATTTACGAAATCTAAGTGAACGCAGTTTCTTTTAGTTTTTAACTACCTAGTAATTTTTACAAATTAACATATTTTCAGCAATTATTTAATATTTTATTGACTTTTAGTTAGGTTTCAAGAAACTTTATGAAATTTGCATTTCATCTCGAGGTTTTACTACATTAAACAAAAAAATTAATTAATTGAATTATTAAATTATTATTAAAATAAATACATAAAATAAAAATATTTAGTGAAATATCAATTAAAAAAAGACTTTTTTTATATTTTGAAGGGATAATTTGCAAAGACGTTAATAATGATGAAACAGAACTGAATATTAAAAGGGAAATAATTGCAGTGCGTCAGACTTAAATCACGTGACTTTTTTTAAAAGTATTATGTAATATATAGATTCCCATAGGTAGAAATTAGGAACTTTTTTTTTTCGCTAAAAATTATTTTTAAAATTTAAAAAATGTTTTGGTACTGCTATGAGCTTTTCAAATTTTGATTCTTAAATTTACTTTTCACTTAACGATATTACCAAACTGACGTCTTGAAAGCAATGAAGAATTTTAAACGATTTTTGAACTATTATATTATTATAATTAAAATAAAATAAAAATTCTTTTAAAAATTCATTATTCATAGAAAAAAAAATTATTTCTTCATACAATAGTGTCCTTAATATAACTTATTTAAAAAAGAAATTAAAAGCTTTTTTAATTAAATAATGAATGTCACAGTTTTATTGCATTTTTATTTACGATTCAAGGCAGATTTTTGATGAAACGACTGTTTTACAAAAAAAAAAAAAAAAAAAAAAATTATGTCTTACTTTCTTCAAGGAGTTCTGTTTTTAACTACCCCCACTAAAAATTTAATTTCTCGAAATTTCATGAAATTAAGTAAGTGGGTAGTAACATATGTAAAAAAAAAAAAAAATTACCAAGATTTTCTAAAAAAAAAATTCAAATTTGTTTTATTAGTTATAAGCAGGACTCCTTGGAGAATGTAAATCATCAGTTTTGTTTTGTAAAACAGTTAACCCAGTTACCGAAAATCTGCTCTGAATCGTAAAATAAAAAATGCAATAAAACTATGACATTATTTAATTAGAAAACCTTGAAATTGCTTTAATAAATAAGATTTATGAAGTGCACTATTGTCTTATGAAAAAAGTTCTTTCAATGAATCATGATTTTTTACAAGAATTGTTTTCAATTTTTTGAAATTTTAATTAAATAATTTAAATTATTTAAAATTCTGCATTACTTCAAGGAGGTTAGATGATACTAAGTTAAAACTGCATTTACGAATCGAAAATAGACAAGCTCATTAAAAGTCGTTTTAATCCAATATTTTAAAAAAGACTTTTAATCCAATATTTAAAAAAAGACTTTTAATTTTTTTATGTATACGTAACGTTCCCCTGTTTGAAAGTATGGTAAACTTACACGACATAATCAGAAAATAAGAGCGGTGACTAAATCGTAAATTTAAATTCAACGTTCGTAAAATTAGATTATATATTGACACTATCACACACATTTTCACATTTTGTAAAGGTTAGCTTACTCAATCAGTACATCAAATAAGAGGGAAAAATGTGTTTTGCGTCAGTTTTATAGGAGAAAAATAACTGATGATAAAAACTGTATCAATATTTAAAATCACGCCTTTAATCAATTTTCATATATAATATTAGCATATAGAATTAATAATATATCTATGTGTATATATATATATATATATATATATATATATTATTAATTCTATATTTAATGTGTATGTATGACTGAGTCAACATTACTGCATTTTAGGGGAATTATTATCGCTCATCCGAGTGATCAATATTGAAAATGCACCTCTCGACAGGTATCGAACATTTCATTCTGAATTAGCGTAAACTGTGAAGTAATGTTTTACCATTAAGCCACAAGAAGGCATTACAACAACAACTGGCTAACTTAGCCGACGTAAGACATGCACAACTATAGATTGAACTTTTAAAGTCTATATCTGCTAAATTTATTTATTTCAGACAAAGATATCTACTGAAACATGCTTACTAAAGTAAATAATAACCATTATTGCAATAAGAATTAATGTTGGATTAAATTGTTATATATATATATATATATATATATATATATATATATATATATATATATATACACGTATGTATGTAGGTTTATTTGGGTGCAATGGCTGTTGCAAAGAATATAGTCTTGTCTCAGCTTGTAAAATCTCTAAAAGCATCGATGTTATTAGAAAATAAGGTCAGCGTTTGGTCATATTTCCTAATATTCATCTTCACGATGAGTAAGGGTTTCACCCCTTTAAGTTTAGCCGTTTTAAATGGCGAATCTGTTTTTCTTGAAGGGATGTTTAGATTGGACCTTTCGATGTCTCACACGCTTGTCGGCTTGACTAACCTTTGAATCGGTCTTGTTCTTATTGTGTGCCGATGTTGCGTGATAAATCGTTATTGATTGCTATGCACTTGGTGAAAGAGAAAGAAAGACACATTATGTGTTGCCGATTAGGCAAAAAAAAAAGCGAAACAAATTTGTTAAGCAGTTTTTAGTCTCATCCGATTTGCAGTCGCTACTTCGGTCTCATTCTCTCGAAGGTGTCATGACAAAAATGACATTTTTTGCCATCATATGTCATGATTTAGTCTTCTGTCTTATTAGTTATGACTTACAATCAATCAATCTCTCTATTTTTCAGTTTGTCATATATGTCATAGTCTAAATACTGTTTGTTGATATATAAAATTATCTATCTATCTATCTATCTATCTATCTATCTATCTATCTATCTATCTATCACAGTGTCTTTCTTTCATTCTTTCTGTAATTCTTTCTTTCTTTCATGAAATATAAAATGTTTTCTGACTTTGAACCTACAAAGGGTTAATAAGCCGTACAAAACTAATCTCTCTCTCTCTATCTCAGTCTGTTTCTATCTATCTATCTATCTATCTATCTATCTATCTATCTATCTATCTATCTATCTATCTATCTAAATATATTCCTACCTTATTTTTATAGACATTGCTGTTATTTTAAGCGTTCATATTCCATATTTTGCTAATAAGTTCCCAGTCAGCACAATCCCAATATCATTAAAACAAAAAGGATAGAGTCAGAACGTTCCCTGATGTCCGTGTAAAAGTGTCTATATGCATATATCTTTTTGCCAAAACCTCGTGTCACACATTGCATCAAATGGGTTTGCAAAATTAATACTAGTCTCGTCCTATGCATAAATTATATATTTAGATATATCGATAAATTGCGTGCACTAGTGTGTGTGTGCGTGTGTGTGTGTGTGAGAGAGAGAGAGAGAGAGAGAATGAGAAAGAAAAAGACAGATCGATTGTAAGAAAGACAGACAGATAGAGTATGTATTACCTGATCTATTGACTGGTGCATAGTAGCATGCATCTGTGCAGTCTTACATACCTTCACCTTTATCCGGGTCTCCAGATGCACTAATTCTCCCATCTCATGCAGTAAATATTTTTTCTTCTTCTTCTCTCTGTTTTTCTCTTTTTCAACTTGTTTCAGTTTTAGTCACCAAAATAGGACAACATCCTATTGAAGTTGTCTTTCATTCCTCCTCCCCAACTAGCAATGTTGTCAGATTTGACATTGGCCATTCCATTGTGTCACTCGACTTCCGCCTCTGCCTTCATCTCTTTTCTTTCTTTCTTTCTTTCTTTCTTTCTTTCTTTCTTTCTTTCTTTCTTTCACATTGTTTATGTGTCAGTAGTTAAGCCGATCTATTTTTCTCTTTAACGCTCATCTCAGCTAGGGGGACATATTTATCATATCCTATCAATATATAACATTTTGTCGCCACAATTACTCCACAACAGCCTCGTTTTAAATACGTGTTTCATTTACTGTCTGGTATATCTAGTAATACTAATTAAAATTATATCTGCCATTTAAACGAAGCAGTTTCTTTCTCTCTATCTTAAAAAAAAATATTAATATATATTTTAAACAAAGCGAATATACGTAAGCTAGTAGTTAACGATTGTTTGAGGAATTTTTTTCAAACTTTTCAATCAATTCACTTCAAACAAGGCGATAATACCACTAAGACGGGAGTAAAAGAGAATGAAAAAACTCTGGAAGGAACCGGAAACCCAATCCTAAACAGGAAACAAGGGATAAACCTCTACTCCTATTAAAAACGGGAAGGAAATGAACATCGCCGACTGAGCGCCGGGGCAACTCAGGACTGAGACAACTCAGCACCAACAAAACATACCTTTTTTTTTTTTTATAACCGAATAAGAGCAAATTATTTTTTAAATTATTTTTAATAAAGTAAATTGTAAATAAATTTATTTTTTAATAAAGTAAAAATATACACTAATTAAGGTTTTAATCCTTAATAAATTGCTTTTATTCGTTTATAAAAAAAAGTTAGTTTTTTTGGCACTGAGTTGTCTCGCTCCTGAGTTGTCTCGGCGTTCAGTCAGCGGTGTTGAATCGGCGGTGTTGAATCGGCGGTGTTAGGTTGTGCTGCACCAAGTTCAAAGGACTAGCGAGGAGTGTGAAGCGGACGATAGATGAACCTATCTACTCCTATTGATGAAAAATAAATAAGATATTAAATCTGTACAGGTAAATGAGAAAAAAGGTATTTTTTGAAAATGCTCGAGTCCCTAGATTAGTGGTTTTCAAATTGAATTAAACCATAAAATTTAACAATTGTAGTTTAGAAATTGAATTGTTTTCCTTTCTTGTCCTCTATGCATGTGTATGTAACTTTATCCATTCTCCATTTATTCCACTCTCTTTGCTGATTGAGAAGCATGTTGTTGAAGTTCGAGACTACTGGAAGGTAGATTTCCAAATCATGATTTTCCAAGCAGACAGGTCTCCTTCCTATCTATCTATCTATCTATCTATCTATCTATCTATCTATCTATCTATCTATCTATCTAGTGACTGTATCGTTTTGCTATCAGAATCGGTTGGCCGATTACATTTGTTATTGCTGCTTCGAAGCAATGTTTACATTATATTACTGGATGTGTTGGGGCGTGCAGTGCAATATTGGATTTAAATAACAGAAATATGATGACCGATATGATTGAATCTTCAGACAGATGCGTGGCATATAACTGCAGGCAGAATTAGGAAAATGACAATCAAGATATACTGAATCACACGCACAAATACACACACACATACACACACTCACACACTTTGTCAGTCTCTCTCTCTCTCTCTCTCTCTCTCTCTCTCTCTATATATATATATATATATATATAGGCATTTCCACTGAATTTTCGATACCTAAGGTTTAAAATATTTTTAAGAAAATGAAAAAGCATCCTTGAAGCGTTCATTTTGTGTTTAAGTGAACACTAACTGATTAAATTTACTATTTCCAGTAAGTAAAATGCTCTAGTATATTTCAAATAGAAATTATATTGATTAGAATCTCAACTTTTTGGTCGTTTCACAAAATCGGCCATTTTTTACACATTTTGAGACATTTGTAAACAAAACTTAATTCACGGTTTAAGACTCTTCCAAAAATAAAATATACTATTCTAAAATTTTATTTGAGGAATAATTTAAAGTATAACTAATCTGATTTGAAAAATATTATTTACTTTAAGTTTAAAACAAACATTAGCAGTGATTACACGATTATCAACGTCGCTTGTAATACGTAGATCACTTGAGAAGCGATGATAAAATCTGTCAACACCTTTAGTTGTTCTACGTAGAACATAAACATAATTAAAAAACATAATTTAATAAAATGACGGGTGAGCGACTTTTATATATAATTTTTAAGTACTCAGTAATTTTAAAAATGTTGGAAAACATTCTCTGTAATCTAATTTTAGGAATGTTGAATTTAAATTTACCATAGTCACCGCTCATATTTTCTGATTATGTCGTGTATGGTTGACCATACTTTCAAACAGGGACAAGTTACATAATATTTTATATACATAAAAAAAGTTAATATTTTTTTTAATTTTGGGTAAACGACTTTTAATGGGCTTTTTAATTTTTGATTCATAAATATAATTTTCATTTAATAACAATATCAGCTAACTGGATTGAATATACTTTAGAAAATTGTTTTGTTTACGTTTGGATGCGAAACTGAGCAGATATGAAACATTTCGAGAGGTCTATTAAGTTTCTCTTAATGGCGCTATTTCGACCTTATCTGATCAGCTGAGTCGGCTAAATCCTGCTGGAGAATGGATATGTATCTTGGGTTAGGATAGTAGAAATTCTTTCAAGAAGATATTGCGATGAATCCAGGTCACATATTTATAATTTGATAAGCAACTTACTTAGAAGGAAAATTCTCAAAAGTGCCACTAACGAATCTCATCAAAATTTAAATCTGATTCTTCCCAATATCTCCTTTCCTCAAAGAATTACTACTATCCCAACCAAAGATATATGGCCACAAAAATACAAAAAAGAAAAAAATGAAAGAAAACAGTTAAATCCATATTCTCGTGTTATTCAAAACATATAACACATAAATCAATCCCAATCCAAATTAATTTAATTACTAATTTACACACACACACACACACACACACACACACACACACACACACACACACACACACACACACACATCTTCTGTAAAATGAATCGAGTTCTATGGCTGATTGGCATATGTTTACTTTCGTAAAAACAATACGCTAGATTTAGAGTAATAACGAACAACGAGGGCCTCATGTCGTGAAATAAATGAAGAGCTTCAAATAACTACGAATGTACGACGGCTATTCATAAAAGTTTCGTTTGTCTAATCGATGGGTCGATTGAAATTGATAAATACAAATATTTGTAAAATTTCATTTGAACTGAATCACCAACAGAAGCAGCGGATGTAAATGGACAATAATCTTGATAATCGTTTAGGCGAGACACAATCAGAGGAAACTACATTTGGATATCAGGTTTGGATAGACAATTACGCACAGATGAGAGAGCAATGAACACATTGTATAGACAAATATAGATAAACATGAAATGACAGAAATATCTGTAAAGATCGACAGAAATATATAAAAACAAAGACTTTGGGATTAGTGTTAACATAACAAAATCCAAAGAAGAGTCTGTAATGTCCTGGCCTGTCATTTCGACTTCAGCCACTTTCCCACCGTCGCAACGTCTTTTCTATAAATATTTTAATGGCAATTGTTCTAATGAAATCTCCTCTCTGCTATCTCGATCGCATATCTTCAATCTGTCTAGATTTGGCAATTAGATTTCATCATTGTTGAAATAGGTAGATGGAACCGGAAGTTAATATTCTATTAGTTTCTTTTCTCATCTGTGGGATTCTCTTTTAGTTATTTGCTTCTCTGCCGCGATACCTTCTTCAAAAACTTAAATGCAACGTCATTCATCTCCATCTGTCTTCCCGAATCTTGTTCTTTTAATCTCTTTTCCCCTCTTCTCTTTCTCCCTCATTAACCCCTGGCGTCTTAGTGTCATTATCACCTTATTCGGGTGAAATTATTTAAAAAAAAAAAAAAAATAACGTTTGTTCTAAGAAAAGTTGATCTGTGATTATCCCAACATGCAGTGAGCTCACACAGATGATGCCAAATAAACTTTGCACTCAGTATCACATCAGATCATCAGAGAGGTCAGATGAACCAGAGAATTGACCTGGAAGGTAGCCTCAGAGCCACCAAGTGGTGATTCGTGACTTGTAGGATGCCAATGGATGCTCCTGACATGTAAAAAGGTGGTCGCTGCGCTTAAGATGTGGACACGTGAGACAACCGCATGACAGGAAGATGTTTAAGAAACCTCCCCCAAATGTATACACCCAGGCGCCAATAATAATTGACGAACTCCACAGTTGAATAAACAATAATTATATCCATGAGTGATTTATTTTCGTATTTTTATTAGTCTGTGACGTCCCTAAACACAGCCTTCGCTCGCTCCTCGCTGCTTCGTTCGGGTGTCGCTGCTCCAAACGTGACGTCCGCCTGTCGCGTCAGTCGTGTTGTCCCGTCCTGTGACGACCAACTGGCTTGGTATCGGTCGCGGCACCCAAATGTGACGTTCTAACCTTTTGGTGATTCGGATGGGAATCTGGTTAGATTCGATATCAGCCTCGTCGTTCCCAACTCGCTTCCAACGTCTGGTTACCAAAGTAACTGCGTTGATCTCCAGTCTGCCTACCCACGTTGTGAATTGATCTTAGGCAGACGAAATCAATCAGTCGTTAGGGCCGTAATGCAAGCTGGGTTCAAGCGAGGGTAGTATCGCACAAATATGTATAAAAGAAATAAAATGATAACTCAAAAGTTCAAGGTATCAAAAAAAAGGATAACAATACTTTATGTATAGTTGCTGGATACATAGGAATGCGTCTATCTCCCGACCCGTTATATGGATTGTGACACGTTGTTTTTTTGTTAAGCGAGTTTTAACACTTAAAGAATTAACAATTTCTTGAAGAACAGACAACTTAAGTTGTCTGTTCTTCAAGAAATTGGTTCTTGGTGTGTCTTCAGGCGAAAGTCGAACAACTTATTTTGGTGGTATGGATCTAAGTCGCTCTTCAAAATAAATTGTTCTTGGATTGAAGATGAGTTCGGAAGTTGCGCGAATCTTAGTCAGCTGCGAGGCCTGCTTCAACTGAGCACTCTGAACTCTTCGGGAAACTCTGCCGGACTCTACTCCACTGAGCTGTACTCTACTGTTCTCAACTGATTTCCGCTCGCTGCGACTTTGCTTATATGGACGCCGACCAAAACCGGGGTGGGTTTGTCGGCGTTGGAGGTTCCTCGATAATTCTAAATACATATCCACTTCTTTTATTTTTGGTTAGGAATTTTCCACTTCTTTCCATTTTTGGAAGTATTCTCTTACTCCCACCTTCTCACCATACTTCAGAGGGGCGTCAACGGTCCTCCCCACTTCTTCGTAGCAACTTCTCATATCCATCCTCTAAATGGGCGGCGGCGGCTTCCCTCCTTGCGTCACGTGATCACCTCCGGCCAATGATGTCCAGCCGGGCGTGTGCGATCCAGCTGGCTTTGTTTCAAGAAGAAAAAAAAATATATCTTGCTCAAAAAAAAATTATCTTTTCCTTTTCCTTTTCTTTCCTTAATCGCAGCTCTCATCTTCTCTGGCCGCCAACAGAACAATGCGGCCAGTAGGGTGATAACCTCCATTCTCATCTGGACTTCGTCAGTCAGATTTTCGCTAATTATCAGAATGGGTGGTTGTCCAGCAAAACACAGTCGACCGTCGTCTCGAAAAAACAGTTCCATTGTTCTGGTCATTCTTTGGTGCCAATTTCTGATGACATAGTTTTGTTATCACAACCGAACTCTAACACCTATAGATGTCTTGTCAAAAAAACGGTCAGTCGTTACTCAGGGTTGGTTTCGTGTGCGGCTTAGCAGACGACACAGTTAATTTTTCTTATCTATCCAAAGCCCTGTATTTCACCTGTTCTTTGTCAATTATCAAAATAACATTATCAATTGGAGTTCTCTTAGCTAGTCGGTCTGTGGTTTGCTAATTAGATGTTTGCCAGCATTAAGCGGCTGTTATCTATCCCCGATAACACAAGTTCGTCGCCAGAACATAGTCGATTCCCTTATCCACTTAGAATTTTTCTGCAATGGTAATGACACCCTTTCGCCATTTGCTACTTATCAAAATAACATTGTCAAGGCCCCTGGTCGTGGGTGTTTTTTTTATCATCTACGCTTAAGTCTCGCCTCTCTTTTCTTTTCTTTCCTTTCTCTTTTTTCTTTCTTTTCTTTTTTTTTGTCCTGTTAAATGGTGTCACAGTCCGTACAATGATAATATTACGTAAGCAGAAATATTTTCGACGAATTATATTTGAAACGCATTTCAATAAATGCTTTGCTTAATCTGAAAAAAAAATTCACCGATAATGGCACACTTGATGAAAATACAATTTAAACCCAAATAAGCCGGAGAGATGGTTTGCTATCCATTTATAGCAGACTTCAAATAAATGTTTGGTTCACTCTTGAGGTTTTAATCCAGGACCAGCTTTATACAGCTGGTCCT